GAGACCTGGGAGTGATCATGTCGGAGGATCTCACCTTCAAGGACCATAACATTGTATCAATCGCATCGGCTAGAAAAATGACAGGATGGATAATGAGAACCTTCAAAACTAGGGAGGCCAAGCCCATGATGACACTCTTCAGGTCACTTGTTCTATCTAGGCTGGAATATTGCTGCACACTAACAGCACCTTTCAAGGCAGGTGAAATTGCCGACCTAGAAAATGTACAGAGAACTTTCACGGCGCGCATAACGGAGATAAAACACCTCAATTATTGGGAGCGCTTGAGGTTCCTAAACCTGTATTCCCTGGAACGCAGGAGGGAGAGATACATGATTATATACACCTGGAAAATCCTAGAGGGACTAGTACCGAACTTGCACACGAAAATCACTCACTACGAAAGCAAAAGACTTGGCAGACGATGCACCACCCCCCAATGAAAAGCAGGGGTGTCACTAGCACGTTAAGAGACCATACAATAAGTGTCAGGGGCCCGAGACTGTTCAACTGCCTCCCAGCACACATAAGGGGGATTACCAACAGACCCCTGGCAGTCTTCAAGCTGGCACTGGACAAGCACCTAAAGTCAGTTCCTGATCAGCCGGGCTGTGGCTCGTGCGTTGGTTTGCGTGCAGCCAGCAGCAACAGCCTGGTTGATCAGGCTCTGATCCACCAGGAGGCCTGGTCACAGACCGGGCCGCGGGGGCGTTGACCCCCGGAACTATAGAGTAATTGATGGTGAATTATAAAGTAGTGATGGTGAGTTATATGGTAGTTAATAGTGAGTTATATGGTAGCTGATAGTGAGTTATGAGGTAGTTTTTGAATCCCTTGCGACCTTAGCCTTATAATCGCTTTTTGCTTTTCTTATTCTTTTCTGTATTTCTATCTTTAATTGAATATATTGATTTCTTAACTGCCCATCCCCTCTTTCGATACGCCTATATATGCCTCTCTTTTGACCAATGAGATGTTTTAATCTATTGTTCATCCATTTGGGATCATTTTTGTTCGATCTAATTTCACTACTTGGAACAAAAGTTGTCTGGGCAGCTAGAACTATGCTCTGAAAAACGTCATATTGGCAACCAAGATGGTAATTCCATGATATATTGAAACTAAGTGATTTGTGATCACTTTCCCAAGCTCATCTTTAACCTCAAGATTATTAATCAGTGACTCTTTGTTGGCAAGAACCAAGTCAAGCAGACTGCTTCCTCTAGTTGGTTCTGTTACAACCTGTTCTAAAAAGCAATCCTGGACCGTATCAAGAAAGTCACTAGACTCAAGATTTCCTGTCATATTGTTCCAATCAATTTGTCTAAAGTTAAAATCTCCCATTATCACAACATTTTCATATCTAGATGCCTTATAAATTTCGTCCCATAACAGCTTACTGCACTCCCTATCAAGGTTTGGGGGCCTATAAATCACACCCAGAATTAATTTGTCACGACCCTCGAGAAACTGTAGCCAATCAGATTCTGTGTTCGATGTTTCTAATCTTATATAATGTCTAAGACAATTTAAATTTTCTCTGACATACATCGCCACTCCACCACCCTTCCTGTTGACCCTAATAGTGTGGAATAGTTTATATCCCTGTATGTTGCATTCAGAAGGCATTTCTCTATCTTTCAGGTTGAACCAGGTCTCTGTTATACCAATAATATCTATATTACCTACACTTGCAAGTAATTTTAGCTCATCTATCTTATTTCTTAGACTCCTACTATTTGTATTAGTAAACCTTAAGGGAGCTAGTCACTCGCTGCCCCCTGCTATCTCTCTTTGTTTGTTGATCAATTGATTTGCCATTACTAGCAACTTTATTTTAAACATATCCCTGAGGTATCCCGGTAATAACTGCTGTTTTTAACCCTAACACTACAGCCTGATTGTTTCTCACAAACACCCATACCTCTATAATCTATCAGTTTAAATTCCTAGACAAGTCATCAATTACCCTCTCAATCGAATTGGCTAATGCAACCACTCCATCCCCAGAGAGATGAACCCCATCTCTTGCATACATATCACGTTTGCCAAAGAATAGGTCCCAGTTATCAATGAATGGGATTGCGAGTTCCTTGCAGTACCTGTCTAGCCAGCAATTTATACTACTTGCCCAAGACATCCATTCATTGCACAATCCCTTTCTAGGCAAGATGCTACATATGACTGGGATCCCTCCTTTAGACCTAACTACTTCTATGGCTGACCTGTACTTATCCAGCAGCTCCTGTCTCCTGCCCTCCCCAATGTCATTACCCCCAGCACTAAGACAGATAATGGGCTTGTTCCCATTACCTGACAATATTATCCAACCTGCTGACTATGCCACCAACACCAGCTCCAGGAAGTCACACTCTCTGTCTGACCTTTCTGTCTCTGTTACAAAAAGCACAGTCCATATATCTTACCTAAGAATCTCCTACTATTAAAATATTCTTACCTTGATTAGCAGGGGAATCAGTGGTACCTTCAACCTCACTAACCACTGAAGTGCACTCGTCCTGAAGAACAGAGAATCGATTTCCTACCTTCACATCTTCTCTGTTTACCCTCCTTATCTTCCTTCTTCCTGAACTGGAACCACCTGCCACTTAAAGCGGCTGCCACTATCACTGCTAGTGACCATTTCCTCCTTACCAGCTAAATCCTTCTCACACTCACTCCCAAACTCATCTAGGCGAAGCTTCAGCCTCCTGTTTTCCTCATGAAGAAGTAGAACCTCCTTCTTCAACACTTTAACCTGAGATTCTAAAACACTACAACAAGCCATGGTGCTTGGTAACACCCCACGCTAACTCCCAGAGCTTAGGACAGGTATGACCGCAGGTGACCACTGACCTCAGCTTATTGATGAGTTATATGGTAGTTGATGGGGAATTATGAGGTAGTTGATAGTGAGTTATAAGGTAGTTGATGGTGAGTTATAAGGTAGTTGATGGTGAGTTATAAGGTAGTTGACGGTGAGTTATAAGGTAGTTGATGGTGAGTTATGAGGTAGTTGATGGTGAGTTATGAGGTAGTTGATGGTGAGTTATGAGGTAGTTGATGGTGAGTTATGAGGTAGCTGATGATGAGTTATAAGTTAGTTGATGAGTTATAAGGTAGTTGATGGTGAGTTGTATGGTAGTTGATGGTGAGTTATATGGTAGTTGTTGGTGAGTTAATTGTAGGAAAAGTCGGTCGATGGATCTATAATTTCCTCACTAACAGAACACAGAGAGTAGTAGTCAACAGAGTAAAGTCCGAGGCAGGCACAGTGAAAAGCTCTGTTCCAAAGGCACAGTACTCGCTCCCATCTTGTTCCTCATCCTCATATCCGACATAGACAAGGATGTCAGCCACAGCACCGTGTCTTCCTTTGCAGATGACACCCGAATCTGCATGACAGTGTCTTCCATTGCAGACACTGCAAGGCTCCAGGCGGACATCAACCAAATCTTTCAGTGGGCTGCAGAAAACAATATGAAGTTCAACGATGAGAAATTTCAATTACTCAGATATGGTAAACACGAGGAAATTAAATCTTCATCAGAGTACAAAACAAATTCTGGCCACAAAATAGAGCGAAACACCAACGTCAAAGACCTGGGAGTGATCATGTCGGAGGATCTCACCTTCAAGGACCATAACATTGTATCGATCGCATCTGCTAGAAAAATGACAGGATGGATAATGAGAACCTTCAAAACGAGGGATGCCAAGGCCATGATGACACTTTTCAGGTCATCACTTGTTCTATCTAGGCTGGAATATTGCTGCACTCTAACAGCACCTTTCAAGGCAGGTGAAATTGCTGACCTAGAAAATGTACAGAGAACCTTCACGGCGCGTATAACGGAGATAAAACACCTCAATTACTGGGAGTGCTTGAGGTTCCTAAAACTGTATTCCCTGGAATGCGGGCGGGAGATATACATGATTATATACACCTGGAAAATCCTAGAGGGACTAGTACCGAACTTGCACACGAAAATCACTCACTACGAAAGCAAAAGACTTGGCAGACGATGCACCACCCCCCCCAATGAAAAGCAGGGGTGTCACTAGCACGTTAAGAGACCATACAATAAGTGTCAGGGGCCCGAGACTGTTCAACTGCCTCCCAGCATACATAAGGGGGATTACCAACAGACCCCTGGCAGTCTTCAAGCTGGCACTGGACAAGCACCTAAAGTCGGTTCCTGACCAGCCGGGCTGTGGCTCGTACGTTGGTTTGCGTGCAGCCAGCAGTAACAGCCTGGTTGATCAGGCTCTGATCCACCAGGAGGCCTGGTCACAGACCGGGCTGCGGGGGCGTTGACCCCCGGAACTCTCTCCAGGTAAACTCCAGGTAGTTGATGGTGAGTTATATGGTAGTTGATGGTGAGTTATATGGTAGTTGATGGTGAGTTATATGGTAGTTGATGGTGAGTTATATGGTAGTTGATGGTGAGTTATATGGTAATTGTTGGTGAGTTATATGGTAGTTGATGGTGAGTTATATGGTAGTTGATGGTGAGTTATATTGTAGTTGATGGTGAGTTATATGGTAGTTGATGGTGAGTTATATGGTAATTGTTGGTGAGTTATACGGTAGTTGATGGTGAGTTATATGGTAGTTGATGGTGAGTTATATGGTAGTTGATGGTGAGTTATATGGTAATTGTTGGTGAGTTATATGGTAGTTGTTGGTGAGTTATATGGTAGTTGATGGTGAGTTATATGGTAGTTGATGGTGAGTTATATGGTAGTTGATGGTGAGTTATATGGTAGTTGATGGTGAGTTATATGGTAGTTGAGAGAGAGTTTGAAGCTGCCGCCTTCACACACTGACTCACGGTTACTCTCCACATTGGAACCCTCCCAAGTGCTTCTAAAACACCAATTTCCACCCTTTTACCCGCCTTCACTCTAGCCTAGAGTGGCCGTGGGCGGAGGCAGGGGCGTGGAGGCATTCATACGAGCAGTGTGAGTGGGCGTGAGAACATAATAAGGGCGTAGTGGGTGTTAAATAAAGTGTAGTGGCTGGTGGTGGATGGGCCGCCTCCCCCCACTTACACTTCCACGCGTTGTTCAGCCGCAGCTCGTGATAAGGTTTTCTTTCTTTAGTTTTGTTTATTTTTTGTAAGTATTGCATCTGGATTTTGTTGGTTTGTGCATGTTTGTTGTCCCAGGGGACCGGGGAGGTTAATTCTGAGGGGATTGAGGGCGACGAGGAGGCTAAATAGGGAGGAAAAGGGAGAGTGCACGGTTGTGGGTTGACATTTGTGTAAGACCTTGCTGTCAGGGATACGGTTTGTGGGGTGTTTTTTCTATTTTTCCGGCTTCGCTGAGGGTAGTATGTTTCTTTATAGGCAGTTTGGTGGCGTGAGTATGTAGGGAAGCCTAAAAGGACTAATAATCACTCTTAACGGCGGATACGTGTAATAATGTTTTATTTAGGGTTAGCCTCGTTTATTTTGGCTCGTGGAATTGATAGTTCGTTTTATATTTTAGTTTGTTTCTATCATGGTGGGGACGGTGATGGTTGGTGGAGAGGTTGTTACCAGGGTGTTGGGTTCAGTCTGATGGTTACCTTAATGTGACGTTATTATCCTGGGTTCAACATGGCCGCCGCTGCCCTCTATACATAGTATTTTTTTTTTCTATACATAGTAATTTTTTTTTTTTTTTGGTTGGGGGGCAGTATGCTTGCCCTGCCAATACCCAGGCTATTGACTCTTACTCTAGTAGTAATTTAACTATATTGAATTTTTGGACGTTTTCAAAAAACTTTACCCCCTCCCCCTCATCCCCCCATCTCCCCCCCCCACAAAATAAAAATAGGGAAGTGTACATATGATGAACATGAGGTAAATCCTTAACTGAGAATTATGGTGTGAATTAATGTTTTACATATGACTTGCATTGATAAGCCCCCAAGCTATACACTGCATTTTGGGTAATATTACTTAACTTTTTGGTATATCCTAGGTAATTTACACTGTATATGATTGTACTTATGTGTATCTCTGCTTAAATAAACTTACTGATCAAAATATAAAAGTAGTGTTTCCAACCTTAATCTGAAGTTTCTATCTTTGAAAAAGAAGAGTTAAAGTTTTAAACTTATCCAATTTTGTCTAAAAAATGCATGCTTGCATGATTTTTTCCTTCATGGGTGTTGTAGACACTGATGTAGCCAAAAGGTTTATTCTAAAATGAAAATTCAGATTAAGATTGTAAGGGCTTGTGTATTGACAGTAACGAGTTATAAATGTATAGGGTTTGTGGGGGTTTATCTGGATTACCTGGGGCAAGTAAGTTTATTTAGGTACAGGTGCTCATTAATACAGTTATTATAGTGTAAATTACCTAGGGTGAGGGCTGTTGCAATCCTTAAGGGCCTATTACCTGGAGTTTACCTGGAGAGAGTTTCGGGGGTCAACGCCCCCGCGGCCCGGTCTGTGACCAGGCCTCCTGGTGGATCAGCGCCTGATCAACCAGGCTGTTGCTGCTGGCTGCACGCAAACCAACGTACGAGCCACAGCCCGGCTGATCAGGAATTGACTTTAGGTGCTTGTCCAGTGCCAGCTTGAAGACTGCCAGGGGTCTGTTGGTAATCCCCCTTATGTGTGCTGGGAGGCAGTTGAACAGTCTCGGGCCCCTGACACTTATTGTATGGTCTCTTAACGTGCTAGTGACACCCCTGCTTTTCATTGGGGGGATGGTGCATCGTCTGCCAAGTCTTTTGCTTTCGTAGTGAGTGATTTTCGTGTGCAAGTTCGGTACTAGTCCCTCTAGGATTTTCCAGGTGTATATAATCATGTATCTCTCCCTCCTGCGTTCCAGGGAATACAGGTTTAGAAACCTCAAGCGCTCACAGTAATTGAGGTGTTTTATCTCCGTTATGCGCGCCGTGAAAGTTCTCTGTACATTTTCTAGGTCGGCAATTTCACCTGCCCTTTAAAGGTGCTGTTAGAGTGCAGCAATATTCCAGCCTAGATAGAACAAGTGACCTGAAGAGTGTCATCATGGGCTTGGCCTCCCTAGTTTTGAAGGTTCTCATTATCCATCCTGTCATTTTTCTAGCAGATGCATTGATACAATGTTATGGTCCTTGAAGGTGAGATCCTCCGACATAATCACTCCCAGGTCTTTGACGTTGGTGTTTCGCTCTATTTCGTGGCCAGAATTTGTTTTGTACTCTGATGAAGATTTAATTTCCTCATGTTTACCATATCTGAGTAATTGAAATTTCTCATCGTTGAACTTCATATTGTTTTCTGCAGCCCACTGAAAGATTTGGTTGATGTCCGCCTGGAGCCTTGCAGTGTCTGCAATGGAAGACACTGTCATGCAGATTCGGGTGTCATCTGCAAAGGAAGACACGGTGCTGTGGCTGACATCCTTGTCTATGTCGGATATGAGGATGAGGAACAAGATGGGAGCTAGTACTGTGCCTTGTGGAACAGAGCTTTTCACCGTAGCTGCCTCGGACTTTACTCTGTTGACGACTTCTCTGTGTTCTGTTAGTGAGGAAATTATAGATCCATCGACCGACTTTTCCTGTTATTCCTTTAGCGCGCATTTTGTGCGCTATTACGCCATGGTCACACTTGTCGAAGGCTTTTGCAAAGTCTGTATATATTACATCTGCATTCTTTTTGTCTTCTAGTGCATTTAGGACCTTGTCGTAGTGATCCAGTAGCTGAGACAGACAGGAGCGACCTGTTCTAAACCCATGTTGCCCTGGGTTGTGTAACTGATGGGTTTCTAGATGGGTGGTGATGTTGCTTCTTAGGACCCTTTCAAAGATTTTTATGATATGGGATGTTAGTGCTATTGGTCTGTAGTTCTTTGCTGTTGCTTTACTGCCCCCTTTGTGGAGTGGGGCTATGTCTGTTGTTTTTAGTAACTGAGGGACGACCCCTGTGTCCATGCTCCCTCTCCATAGGATGGAAAAAGGCTCGTGATAGGGGCTTCTTGCAGTTCTTGATGAACACAGAGTTCCATGAGTCTGGCCCTGGGGCAGAGTGCATGGGCATGTCATTTATCGCCTGTTCGAAGTCATTTGGCGTCAGGATAACATCGGATAGGCTTGTGTTAATCAAATTTTGTGGCTCTCTCATAAAAAATTCATTTTGATCTTCGACTCTGTCTGGTTAGCGGCTTGCTAAAACTGAGTCATATTGGGACTTGAGTAGCTCACTCATTTCCTTGCTGTCATCTGTGTAGGACCCATCTTGTTTAAGTAGGGGCCCAATACTGGGCGTTGTTCTCGATTTGATTTGGCATAGGAGAAGAAATACTTTGGGTTTCTTTCGATTTCATTTATAGCTTTTAGTTCTTCCCGCGATTCCTGACTCCTAAAGGATTTTTTTAGCTTAAGTTCGATGCTTGCTATTTCTCTGACCAGTGTCTCCCTGCGCATTTCAGATATATTGACCTCTTTTAGCCGCTCTGTTATTCTTTTCCGTCGCCTGTAAAGGGAGCGCCTGTCTCTTTCTATTTTACATCTACTCCTCCTTTTTCTTAGAGGAATAAGCCTTGTGCATACATCGAGTGCCACCGAGTTAATCTGTTCTAGGCATAAGTTTGGGTCTGTGTTGCTTAGTATATCTTCCCAGCTTATATCGGTTAGGACTTGGTTTACTTGGTCCCACTTTATGTTTTTGTTATTGAAGTTGAATTTGGTGAATGCTCCCTCGTGACTAGTCTCATTTTGTCGGTCTGGGGCTCCTCGCATACATGTCTGAACCTCAATTATGTGTGATCTGAGTATATTGTTTTTGATATGGTGACATTTCTTATCAGATCATCATTGTTAGTGAATATGAGGTCTAGTGTATTCTCCAGTCTAGTAGGCTCTATTATTTGCTGGTTTAAATTGAATTTTCTGCAGAGATTTAAAAGCTCGTGTGAGTGTGAGTTTTCATCAGAGCTGCCTCCTGGTGTTATTACTGCAACAATATTATTTGCTATATTCCTCCATTTTAGGTGCCTTAAGTTGAAATCCCCCAGGAGCAAGATGTTGGGTGCAGGAGCTGGAAGATTTTCCAGACAGTGGTCAATTTTTAACAGCTGTTCCTGGAATTGCTGGGATGTTGCATCCGGAGGCTTGTAGACTACCACAATGACTAGGTTTTGGTTCTCGACCTTTACTGCTAAAACTTCCACTACGTCATTTGAGGCATTAAGCAGTTCTGTGCAAACAAGTGACTCTGCAATGTACAGGCCAACCCCCCCCTTTTGCCTGTTCACTCTGTCACATCTGTATAGGTTGTAACCTGGGATCCATATTTCATTGTCCAAGTGATCCTTTGTGGGTCTCAGTGAAAGCCGCGAACATTGCCTTTGCCTCTGCAAGCAGTCCACGGATGAAAGGTATTTTGTTGTTTGTTGCTGGCTTTAGACCCTGTATATTTGCAAAGAAGAATGTTATCGGACTGGTGGTATTGTTGGTACTGGGCTTGTGGCTCGCATGGTAGCATCTTCGGCTCTCAGCTGAGGGATCTGGGTCTGAACCCATAAGTGAAAATGGTGGGCATGTTTCCTTACACTAGCTCACCAAGCAGTAGGTAGGTAGCTGGGTTTTATTGCTCTGGGTTGCATTCTGAGGAAGAAGACCAGTGGCCTTCATTTGCTGATAATAAGCAACTGTCTTTATTGAACTATCCTTTGTTACTAACCCTTCAAATTAATAATTTGAATAAAATGTCTGTCAAATGTTTTAAAAACTCGAGCTCATTTTGTGTGCTAAGGTGACGTTTTCCGAGTGAAATATTGAAATCCCAGTACGACTCTGTGTTTAGTGAACCACTAATCAGTCTGAGGATCGACGACCCAAATGATTTCTTCAGAATGAGCCTCAAAACTCCATAAATGTATGCCAGATTTCCGACATTACCCTAACTCCGATAGATTTCAAAAAAGCCATTGACAACATGCCTATGCACTCAGCCCCGGGCCCAGACTCGTGGAACTCTGTTTTCATTAAGAACTGCAAGAAAGCCCTCTCGCGTGCCCTAAGTACACTATGGAGGAGGAGCTTGGACATGGGTGAAATTCCACAGTCACTTAAAACAACGGATATAGCCCCACTCCATAAAGGTGGCAGCAAAGCATTAGCTAAGAACTATAGACCAATAGCTCTGACGTCCCACATCATAAAAATCTTTGAAAGAGTGTTAAGAAGCAGGATTGCAAATCACCTGGATTCCCAAAATCTGCACAATCCAGGGCAATATGGGTTCAGGGCAGGTCGCTCCTGCCTCTCACAACTACTGGATCACTATGACATGGCCTTGGATGCACTGGAAGAAAATCAGAATGCAGATGTAATATACACAGACTTTGCAAAAGCCATTTGACAAATGCGATCATGGCGTAATAGGCCATTAAAATACGTGCTAAAGGAATAACTGGGAAAAAAGTGGGGAGATGGATCTTCAACTTCCTAACAAATCGAACACAAAGAGTAGTGGTCAACAGAGTTAAATCGGAGGCTGCCATAGTGAAGAGCTCTGTTCCACAAGGCACAGTACTCGCCCCCATCTTATTCCTTATCCTCATATCAGACATAGACAGAGATATACACCACAGCACCGTATCATCCTTTGCAGATGATACTAGGATCTGCATGAGGCTGTCATCTGCTGAGGACGCGGTTAACCTCCAAGAAGATATAAACAAAGTTTTCCAGTGGGCAACGGTAAACAATATGATGTTCAATGAGGACAAATTCCAACTACTCCGTTATGGAAAACTTGAGGAGATAATAACTAGAACAGAGTATACTACTGACTCCGGCCATACAATAGAGCGGAAAAATAATGTAAGAGACCTGGGAATAGTAATGTCTGAGGATCTCACTTTCAAGGATCACAACAGTGCCACGATCACACGTGCAAAGAAAATGATAGGATGGATAATGAGAACTTTCAAAACGAGAGATGCGAAGCCTATGATGATCCTTCTCAAATCACTTGTTCTCTCTAGGCTGGAATACTGCTGTACATTAACATCTCCATTCAAAGCAGGTGAAATCGCAGATCTAGAGTGTACAGAGATCCTTTACTGCACGTATAAGTTCTGTCAAGCACCTTAACTACTGGGAACGCTTGGAAGCACTTGACTTGTACTCGTTGGAATGCAGGAGGGAGAGATATATCATAATCTACACTTGGAAAATCTTGGAAGGAATGGTCCCAAATCTGCACACAGAAATCACTCCCTACGAAAGTAAAAGACTGGGCAGGCGATGCAAAATGCCCCCAATAAAAAGTAGAGGCGCCATTGGTACACTAAGGGAAAACACCATAAGTGTCCGGGGCCCAAAACTGTTCAACAGCCTCCCATCAAGCATTAGGGGAATTGCCAATAAACCCCTGGCTGCCTTCAAGAGAGAGCTGGACAGATACCTAAAGTCAGTGCCGGATCAGCCGGGCTGTGGCTCGTACGTTGGACTGCGTGCGGCCAGCAGTAACAGCCTAGTTGATCAGGCCCTGATCCATCGGGAGGCCTGGTCGTGGGCCGGGCCGCGGGGGCGTTGATCCCCGGAATAACCTCCAGGTAACCACACTAGTCTTGTTGACTTGTGTATAATAAAAAAAAATTATGGGAAATTCATTGAGCAGATTTTCGACAGTCCAGTTGGCACTTTTTAATTTGAGGGCCATGCATCAAGCCCCTTCACTGAAATTTTTTTTTTTACACCTAATTCAACTAAAGTTTATTCTTCAGTTGTCCATAAATAAGAAGTTCAATAATGAATTCAATGAATTAGCACTCCATGGCTTTGGGGGGCTGAATGTATCATTCATTTATGAATATTAAAGTACATAATGGTAAAAGTAACTTTGTTGGGATACCTTTCATGAGTTCTGAGAGTTTTTCTACTGAGCTTAGTCATGAGCCAGGCTTGTTTGGTGCTTGCCTGGTCAACCAGGCTGTTGCTGCTGGTGGCCCACTGACCCACACAGTCATCACAGCCTGATTGATCTGGCACCCGGTGAAGATTCTAGTCTAGTTTTCTTTTGAAGACTTCTTCACTTGTCCCAGCAGTGTTTTGATATCTTCTGGTAAGATGTTGAATAGTCTGGGGCCATGGACGTTGATAGTGTTCTCTTATTTTGCCCACTGTACCCCTGCTTTTGACTGGGTTTATTTTACACTTCCTCCCATGTCGCTCCAGTATGTTATGGCAGTGTGCAGATTTGTAACCAGGCCCTAGAGTTCTTTCCAGGTATATATTATCTTGTATCTCTCCTCTGCTTCAGTGGTTACGTATTTAGTACTGTAAGGCATTCCCAATAATTTAAATGCTTTATTGGGGCTCTGCTGGCAGTAAATGATCTGTGCATCTGCTCCAGCACACACACACTTTCCTGCCCTGAATGGGGCATTCAACACTGAGCAATATTCCAGGTCAGGTCACATTCACTTCAGGAGCATGGCATCAGACCTAGTAGCACAAGATGGTCAGGTCCATCTCGCACCCACTCGTGTATTTATCTAACCTATTTTTAAAATTGCACAATGTTTTAGCTTCTATGATGGTACTTGGAAGTTTTTTCCACTCGTCCACAGCTCTTACTAAACCAGTGCTTTCCTATATCCTTCATGAATCGGAATTTTTCCAACTTAAAACCATTGCTGCGAGTCCTGTCTTGGCTAGATATTTTTAACACTATTTGCATACCCTTTCTTTTACCGCACTGACTCATGTTTGTGTCTTCTGCAAATGATATAAAACTGACAGGTGCTTTTATGCCAGCTATGAAGATAAGAAACAGAAGTGCCAGGACAATGCCTTGGGGTACTACTATTATTTGCACTGTTAGAAACCTGAGAATCCATCTGCCTACCTTCCCTGTTATGTCTATGGCCCTCATTTTGTGTGTAATCCCCCCATAATCCCATTTGTCAAACGCCTTTTCAAAAGGTGTTTCACATCTTTGTTTTGGTATTTTTCCAATGCCTCTGTAATTGTCAGTGGTTTAACAGTTGACAAGCATGATCATCTAGTTCTAAAACTGTGCTGATTTGGATTATGCAAGTTGTGCCATTTCATAAAGTTTGTAATTTGGCATCTAGTCACTTTTGAAGATTATGATGTGGGATGTTAGGGCTACTGGTCTGTAAGTTTTGGCTAGTTCTCTACTTCCTTTATGCATTTAGCTATGTTTGCACTCTATAAGGTCTCTGGTGGTGTTCCAACTTCAGTATATATTTGATATCAGTTTTATTTTTTTTTTTAATTTTCAAGTGGTTGTAATTGCTTTGCTCTCCTACTGTTTGGTAAGAAGCTATTGGTATCTGTTTTGAAACTAATTTTTTCTCACCTTAGTTCACAACTAAGAATTCTTGCTGATGAGTTCATTTGAACTGAATGAATGTCTTGTGTACTCGGTGTGGGAAAAGTTGTTACGAACTGTAGTTCGTCTTGAGTAGATATCATTTTTGTTAATTTAAAGAGATCTGAACTATTTACATGTCTTAAAAAGTTCAGTTTATATTGCAGGGTATTCATTTTTAAGTTGTAATTTAATTCCAGAGCATTGAATATAATGTCTTGGTACCCCAATGAAACAGGATGCAAGAACTTGGTAACAAAACAGGGTGAACCTCCTGGGGACACTAAAAAAGAAGGTTGGTGTAAATAAATAATGTGTAGATGCAGAACGTTGGTTAAAATTGACTAACAAAATCCTTGAAAAAAGTAGTTGAATTTGCTAGTGGTGTACAATTTCAGTGGGCTTTTAAATGTTAATATACAGTTGTGTGTCACTGGTGTAAGCAGCCAGATTCAGTAAAAATTTGACATTTAGTACAGTATAGTTTAAGTTAGCAAAGGATGCAGTAGAAGTAAATGCATAATCACTCCTGGAAAATGTAGAACATTATTTAAGGCTCAAGGAAAGTTTTTTAATTTAACCCGTAAACAGTCCAGGCAGATCTACGTTCACATGTGTAGTGCTCCAAAAGTAGATCTACCTTTTTTTTTTTTTACATATTTTCAAATATAACAAAAAAAACAAGTAGATCAAAGTTTTTTTACTTTCAAATGTAAAAAAAAAAAAAAATTTTTTTTTCATTCAAATGTTGAAAAAAAACGTATATATACGTTTGCACCGTTTACGGGTTAAACAGCATCTGATAATTATAGTACATACTGTAGCAGGTAAATAAATATATTGGGCTAGGAAGGCTGTGATCTTGAGAGCAGCACCATATAGCAGTTGAATGAAAAGGTTGTCATTTGTAGATACAAAAAGTACAGTGTAAATATTTTATAAAACAGTAGTAACTTGGTTATCATAAATTTGAAATTGACTTAAAATTATGGTAGCCATTTTATTCTCCCATTTGTTGCACTACATAGTAGTTTATATATTTATGGGTGAAAATTTGCCTTTGTTTGCAGCCACATAAACCTTTTCACTGTTCAGTGTTCAGACCCCCCAAAATTAATATTGCTCCCAGTGTCCACTTCAATTTTTTTTTCCCCTCCTGAAAGGGTAAGGAGACTTTTTGTTAGGTAATGACAACAAAATACAGGCAGGCCCCTCTTATACAGCAGGTTACATTCCAGGCTGCACTAGAAAGTGAGATGTAGCTGCCTTTCACTTTCACATGCATGTAAAATCTTGATAACGTGTTTGTATGTACTGTCAAATACATACAGTAGAAAAAGTTGGAGGGAGGGGGTAAGGGAGGATTTGTGTGCGAGGAGCTTGGACTTCCAACAGGCGTACGTGAGCAGTTTGATAGCAAATGGAGAAAAATGATTTTTAGGACTAGACGTGCTGTTGGATTGTAAGCAAGGTAACATTTATGGAAGGGTTCAGGGAAACCGGCAGGCTGGAATTGATTCCTGGAGATGGGAAGTACAGTGCCAGCAGCTAGCATTCTGAAAGAAGGGTACTAGTGTCGCAGTTTCATAACTGTAGTGTAAGCATGCCTGTGGTAAGACAGTGATAGTGAATGATGATGGAAGTTTTTTGGGCCACCCTGCCTTGGTGGGAAATGGCCAGTGTGTTTAAAAAAAAAAAAAAAGCAGGACCCCACTTTACAGTATTTTGCCTTATGGCGTTCCACTAATAGAGATTTCAAATTATGAGCAAAATGCATTACAGTGGTACCTTGACTTGCGAGTTTAGATCATTCCGTGACCGAGCTCGTAACTCAATTTGCTCGTATATCAAATCAGTTTTCCATATTGAAATTAATTGATATGCCATTAATCCATTCCAGCCCCCAAAAACTACCCCAGTTCTTTTGTTACAGGTTTTTAAATAAATGCATTTATAAATAAGAAATATTGTATACTCCACCCACCACCATATCTACATCCACCACCCTCACTACTCCACCCACCACCATATCTACTCCACCCACCACCATATCTACTCCACCCACCACCATATCTACTCCACCCACCACCATATCTACTCCACCCACCACCATATCTACTCCACCCACCACCATATCTACTCCACCCACCACCATATCTACTCCACCCACCTTAATGTTTCTGGTAAAACTCTCGTGTTGAAATGGAGGTTAACTCTTCCCCAGATTTATACGAGAACCAAACAAGGGTCGAAGTACCTCGCTACAATCTGGGATTAGTTATATTATTTATTTTTTATTATCACACTGGCCGATTCCCACCAAGGCAGGGTGGCCCGAAAAAGAAAAACTTTCGCCATCATTCACTCCATCACTGTCTTGCCAGAAGGGTGCTTTACACTACAGTTTTTAAACTGCAACATTAACACCCCTCCTTCAGAGTGCAGGCACTGTACTTCCCATCTCCAGGACTCAAGTCCGGCCTGCCGGTTTCCCTGAATCCCTTCATAAATGTTACTTTGCTCACACTCCAACAGCACGTCAAGTATTAAAAACCATTTGTCTCCATTCACTCCTATCAAACACGCTCACGCATGCCTGCTGGAAGTCCAAGCCCCTCGCACACAAAACCTCCTTTACCCCCTCCCTCCAACCTTTCCTAGGCCGACCCCTACCCCGCCTTCCTTCCACTACAGACTGATACACTCTTGAAGTCATTCTGTTTCGCTCCATTCTCTACATGTCCGAACCACCTCAACAACCCTTCCTCAGCCCTCTGGACAACAGTTTTGGTAATCCCGCACCTCCTCCTAACTTCCAAACTACGAATTCTCTGCATTATATTCACACCCACACATTGCCCTCGGACATGACATCTCCACTGCCTCCAGCCTTCTCCTCGCTGCAACATTCATCACCCACGCTTCACACCCATATAAGAGCATTGGTAAAACTATACTCTCATACATTCCCCTCTTTGCCTCCAAGGACAAAGTTCTTTGTCTCCACAGACTCCTAAGTGCACCACTCACTCTTTTTCCCTCATCAATTCTATGATTCACCTCATCTTTCATAGACCCATCCGCTGACACGTCCACTCCCAAATATCTGAATACATTCACCTCCTCCATACTCTCTCCCTCCAATCTGATATCCAATCTTTCATCACCTAATCTTTTTGTTATCTGGGATTAGTGTGGGAGTATTATTCTTCCAGTTATGTCTTGGAAGAGCATATGGGATGGGATGAAGTACCTGACATTCCTCTGGGTACAGAGTTGGATTTAACTATAGGTACGCATATCTGAAGCTGGCTCGTAACTCAGATTTTGGCTCTCGAAGCAAAAAATCAACCGAGTGATGGCTTGCAACTCTGAAAACTCGTAAGTTGGGGCACTCGTAAGTCAAGGTACCACTGTATATGGTTCCCACCACCTGAGTTTACAATACGGTCACCATGTACCACCCGGTTTGTTTACATACTCCGTGAGCACAACTCTCCATTGTTTGGAAACTTTCCAAAATTTCAGGTGTTTTAAAGTTATTTCATATTTTATATATACTGTATTCTGATAATTATGCTTATGTATACTTGTACCTAAATAAACTTGAACACTGCTAGCATGCAGGTACACATTAAAATCACTAAGTCTCTTATTAGTCTTGAAGGCACCATAATAATAACAATAAAGATCACTCTGAGGCACATTAAATGTTGCATGTTATGTTAATATGTGTAGACATTTTGATTAATCCATCTAATATTTTTTCAAAATTATATAATAAACATGCAAAGTAATGTATAAACATGATAAATACACCCCACAGTAGAATAAATTATCATAAATATGAGATGTTTTTCCAGTCATCTTGTCTGAGTGTTGGAAAGAATAGTTTTCTCTAGTTCAACATCACAGAAAATGTGTACACAATAGTATTACTGGGGGTAACTATAGAAAATTATTCCTTTTGTATGCCTTCACTCAGTGTTGCTCATTATTTATTCTATTTTATCAATGTGAAGACAACTGGTACACAATGTAAAATGGTACAGTGGAACCTTGGCTTACGAATGCCCCACCATGCGAATTTTTCAGGATACAAACTGTCGTTTGGTCGATTTTTTGCTTCTGAATACGAAGGAAATTTCAGGATGTGAACTTTCCCTTCCAGGAAGGTTGCTTAAATAAGTTAATAAATAATATATGTACGTATTTCTTTGCAAAGGTTACAATGTGTGTTTACATGTCATCATATGATTGGAGCAAAGAAAGCCACTATCATGCCGAGGCATTTCGGGCAGACTTAACCTAATACTAATAGACTACTAAAGTCTAGACAGGTGAAAAGTGTACTAGTGGTAGTTACCAATGTTTTGCTGATGGTGGTGCCAACTATTGGCAGCCTTTTGAAGTTTCTCCTTACTGTTACTATTATTATTATTACTATTATTATTATTTATGTATTATTATTATTATTATTATTATTATTATTATTATTATTATTAGTAGTAGTAGTAGTAGTAGTAGTAGTACGTACGTGGTGAGGGGCTCTTGATCTAGGGAATTGAATCTGTGCTCCAAGTCCCTAAATTAATAATATAATTACAGTGGACCCCCGCATAACGATCGCCTCCGAATGCGACCAATTATGTAAGTGTATTTATGTAAGTGCGTTTGTACGTGTATGTTTGGGGGTCTGAAGTGGACTAACCTACTTCACAATATTCCTTATGGGAACAAATTCGGTCAGTACTGGCACCTGAACATACTTCTGGATTGAAAAAATATCGTTAACCGGGGGTCCACTGTATTATAATTATTAATTTATTATTATAATACGTAAGTACTACTAATAATGATAATACATAATATATAATACGTAATAGTATAATATAATATGTACGTACTGCGTATAATTTAGTTTGACACCACCACAATGGTCACCAGTTCACGTGTGCTTATGGAGCTACCCTTGCGGTGCAAGGAATTCTCGTGATTTCCTTAGGTTTGTGCAGTTAATTCACCAGATTTCTTTCCTCTAACCATGGGCCATAAGGAAGCAAGTGCAAAGGACAGTGCCGAGAAGAAAAAGAGGATGATTTTCATGGAATTAAAGCAAGAAATGATTAATAAGCACAGACTAGGTACGAGGGTTGAGGACTTGGTGAGTTGAGTACCTATTGGTTTAGCACTTCCCCATGATTATAATAATAATAATAATAATAATAATAATAATAATAATAATAATAATAATAATCTACTATATGTGCAATACTAAAGCAGGAGTCTATAAAG